GTAACCTACTGTACAGCAGAGCGACATCCACGACTTAACCGCTTTTTTTTTCTTTTAAATCGTTGAAAACTAAAATATTGTAGTTTTCTAAATTTTTCACAAATCTCAATTAAAATAATGATATTTTTTGATACTAACAAATTCTGCAGTATTTATCATATGCATACATTTGAAAAACAAATATATATATCTGTTCTTAGAATATAATATATACCAACTCTTATAAGAACAATAATTTTTATTTTCATTTTTAACCCACCAATTTGACAATAAGAGTAAGACAATGAATGTAAATTGAAAACTGTTACCTCTAATTTAAAATATTTTATAAAAAAAACCCAACCATGAAATACATTTAACATAACTTATGCCAATTCGGTTTTTAAATCTCCATGATAAAGGTCAATATAATTAATGTAAAACCAAAAAAGAAACAAAGTTTTCATAAAATATTCAAATATTAACCAAGTATCACTAACACCGGACAGATGCCAAGGGGACACTTGCATAAGTAATGGAAATCGATTTTGTAATCTGGTCTCACGGAAACTTTCAGTTTTTAATTAAAAACTTACTTCATCTGAAAGCCGACAAAATTAGTTACTTTTCAATTTCTCTGCAGCCCTAACGAAAAGAAGAAACGAATGAAAGGATGGGAATGAATATTATTTTGAAACAAAATGCAATATTTATCAAAAAGTTGGTAGCTCTAATTTGGCAAATTAACATTGTATGTTGTAACTAAATTTTTAAGATAGCCTAAAATAACTTTTCGATAAAATAAGTTTGCTTTTACATATTTGTTGGAAATGAAATTCCTATAAAACAGTTCAGCGAGTGCGAGCGAGTGAAATGTAGCAATATAAATATTCTAGATTGATGGGGCGATGGGAGGTAGGAATTCAATGAATTTATTATATAAACCCACTYCGCTTAAGTATCTTTTTATAAATCGTAAAATACAGAAACTTAAATATACTTTTTCATTGCAGTTCATCCATTGGTTCAAGTACCAAATCAACTAGTGGGAGCACCTCAAAAAACAGACATCACACTTCAATGCTACGTCGAAGCTTCGCCAAAGTCAATCAATTATTGGACAAGAGAATCGGGTAAATATATAAGAATTAATAGTTATTAAAAATAAACTTGAAAACTGAATCTCATGTTCATAGMAGTTTATTTTAAGTATATTTAAAGTAAATTTTATACTATGATAAAACATCTCGATAACAATTTTAAGCCAAATTCAACTAAATGTACCTACTGTTAAATGAATATATCTATTCAAAATAATATTGTAATGATTAAAAAAAAGGGGTTATAATAATATTATTTTTATATTACCACTACAATCCTTGAATTGACTTCCCAATTAAAACCGTGGTTAGCGTCTGAGGTGCAAGGTGAGGTAACCGATTTGTATTTTAAAATAATAAAACCTTTTTCTTTGGTCTATTAATATTACTTTTATTTAATTTATTTCTAACGCACATTAACATATACTTTTAACTAACTTATTAATTTATTTGTAATACACACACACACATATATATATATTTAACTTTAACAATATTACGTCTTTCTAGTTTCTGTATAGACGATTTGTGATTGACGATTTAACGACACGTCTGGCCCAGCGACTAAAAACAGTAAAAACGGAGCACCTTATATCTAATGTTGTATGTGTGTGTGCATRTGTATGTGTGTGTGCGTGTGTATGTGTGTATGTGTCCTATCTTATCCTTAATGACTACTAATTATTATAATTATTTTATTATATATATATTAAATTTAAAAAGATATGATGACTTAAGCGCACATCATTACATCCACCCTAGCCTTTTTGTGATGCGTCCTCGCATCAAAAGATGAGCATAACATACAAATTCGAATCATTAATGCATGAAAGTTATCCAATGAAGATTAAAGATTTAGATTCTTAAAGTTAATAATATAAAGTATAAAAAATTATGTGAACAGATTCATTGAGATTAATTTAAACATTTTTTTTTTTAGTGTACATTTATAAAATATAACTAGGAATTGATTGCATTTTTTTTTACTTATTAATTTGAGAAGCAGATACATAGTATGATGTGGTAATTACATTTAAAGTTAAATATATTTCTTGGGTTTATATTGCATGACTTTGAATTTTGTATTTGTATTTTTCATTTGGTGTTGAGTTTAGATTTGACTTTGGATTCGAATCTGCATATGACTGGGTTGTCGTGATGTTCTGATATGATTTAACTTGTTTCTGATTGCTCTGATTTCTTTTTTTATTGCTTGTATTAATTATCTGTATATTTTGAATTTTGTGTTGGTTGAAAATCAACGATGGATCAAGTTCTTCATTTTTTTTTGTGTTGTTGCATTTTTTTTTAAGTATCGGTAAAAAATTTTGGACCACCAAAAAAACTTGAAAATTTAATACAAGATTCCTTATGGGTTGTTCTTATTATAGCGAAAAAAATTAAAAATTGTTAGTCACAGTTTTTTTTTATAAGCGTAGGTAAACGCAATATATATTTAGACTATAGGACCTAAAAATTTTCTTTTGGAACACTCTACAAAATTACGAAACATATAGTTAATATATCAGACATCAGTGATGACTGATGAGTGATTTATATTAAAAATAATATGAAAACCTCATCATTATAATAAACTATTTCTTGAAAAACGTAATAAGACGAAAACAAAACTTTTTGGTCGTCTAAGTCGGTGGTCCTCGTTCACCTATACATTTTAGTATAATCATTTATTTTTTGTGTCTACCAAGTTGTATTTTTTTTTTAAAGTTGATTGATAAAATACTAGTTTATATAATCATATGTATAAAAATATAAAATGTTTTAATTTATTTTATTTTATTTTATATTTGTTTAGTTACTTACAATTTATACTTTATATTATACTACTTACTAAAATTACCCATTTCTAAAGCTCACGCGACCCACCATAGTTGAAGACCAACGGTATAAATTATGTTATAGTCTATAGATAATAATAGTTTATAATATTTAAATAAATCGCAATGATACATTAGGTAGGTACCACATGTAATGCATAATCCATACAGACAAAAAAAAATTAACGTCCGAATAAAAAACTAAATATTACCAGCTTTTTTTGTAATGTGATGACACAATAGAGAACACAAAGGCCAAATGCAATATAATATTATGTAAGGGATGGTTAAGGTGAGGAAGGTGAGGTGAGGTGAGGTG